TGCTTTTGTTTAATCATCCTTTTGCATATGTTTGCTGTGTCTACTACATGGCTTGTGATTTGCTGTAAGCAGGGCTTAGAGAGCTATATTTCTCACAAAGTCAGTAATAGTCCTACCAACAAATTATTCATTTAAAGCTGGGGATCTCTGCAGCTCCTCCAAAGTTAACGTGGGCCACTTGACCCCTTGTCTTTGTCTGATTAGTACTTATATGGATTGCCCTGGACCCCTCCCTCCAACTTTGAATGATAAATTAAACATGGGGATGTTCAAAACTTTGAATGTTTTTTTTAATCAATTAATTCTCCTTTAAAAGTGTTTGCAACTTAATCACTACTCTGTCAGCTCTGTTCTTTATGATATTTATTATCGCTAATTTTCACTAATAAACCTCTAAGGCTGGTAAATGCTTTTCTTAAATATATGTATCATTTTTATTTAGCCTAAACATTGAGTTTTCCTTTTTAATTTTTTTTTTACAAACAATTCCCCCAAAATTACATCACAGGATATGAAAAACACTGTTGGAATATATTTCTCTACTCTCATAAGTAAGATAAAAATTAAGAAATTAAAGAAAATTAATACTTTGTCTTAACTGTTTGCAAGTACATCTATTGTGACCTAATTTCCAGCGTTGTAAACAAAAAATACCCAAATGTCACTTCAGACACAACACCCAATGACTGTAAGTTTCATTTATAAAGTGAGATACTGTCTTTAAACACACCCGTGAAAAATCAGGTACCACTTATTAGGACCGCAAACTGTCAATTAAACCCAGAGCTCAATTAGAGTAAATAAACTTACATGCGGGACTCCCATGGGACCCGTTGTGACAGTTGCCTCACAAGTTCTGAAATTGACAGACAGGGATAAATGGGCTTTTTCATTTACTATGAAGTAGAGCAGCGCAAAGCTACTGTCATGCAATAATGGGCCAAATATATAGAATATATATATATATATATATATATATATATATATATATATATATATATATATATATATATATATATATATATATATATTAATATATAGCAGTAGAGCCATAGCATTGTTTGATGTTTGGGTGCTTGACAGGCATGCAGCCAGCATATCCCCCTCTTTCTTGAACTCTATCAAGATGACTGATCAGACTGTGCACTTCATCTAAAAAATTAATATAAAAATCATTATCACAAAAGGAAAAGGGTAGCACTGCAATACTAATTAGAAGTTTCAGACAAGTACGGATTTTGTTGTTTACACAACCAATATTGTGTTGCCTCATTCTAAGAGGACTCCTCACTAGCAGTACAGTAATTCACCATACTTCACTTTGCAGCCACATACTGTTATCTTTACTAGCTCTCAGTTAGCAGTACATTAGCCAAGTCTCGGGCGAGCTATTCTAATGCAATAAAATGACCATTTCCAACTCTTTCAGCTCTTTGTAGCAACTCAGTCTCCTGAGGCCGCTGGTCTTCAGATTGCAGGGCGTTTATGGTTGTAGGTTGTTGCAGTGTGCAGGAGGAGGAGGGGGGGTCATCAGATAAGAGAGGAATTTCTAGACTAATTAAACCCTTTGAGAATCACACTACAGTGATTTACAACTCTCTGTACCAGTTAACCCGACTCATTTTTATCTGTCATATTACTCAGATACCATATCTACCTCTGTTTCTTAAAAGTCTTTTTTTTTGTCTCCAAGATTATGGAAACAGGAGGAGGAGATACTAGAATGAATAACAAATGAGTTATAAAAAACTGTTTCTTGCACAGCCTTTTAAGGGCAATCTTGTGTGCCAATGATATAGTAATAAGCTAACAACTATTTGCAATATACTACATTACACTTTGTTTATGATTGTATAACATTGGGATATTAAAACAGAAAAATAATCATGTCAGTATTACCATATCCTTGGATAACTGAATAAAGAGCGAGCATTTAATCCAATCAGTGCAATGAAACAAAGAAAAGCAAAGTTGTGAAGAGCAAAGTCTACCAGGCATAATTCCTTTTGGCTGGCTCCTGCAGAGGGGTATGCTAAGATAGAAAGTATTATTTTCCTAAATGGAAGGTGTCAGATGGTCACGGAAATGTGATCGGCTGTTCAAGATCACTGCTTCCCATCTGCAATTTGTGACGTGTGAAAGATTCAGCCCAAATGTGCTCACCGAGCGTAAATCCTCAGCACTTTCTCTTATCGTGGAAAAGCAAGATAACCAGCTGTTTACAGATCAGAGAACATATCATATTAATATCATGGAGGGGGGGTCGGTGTAGGGGTGATATCATCTTGTTTATAAAATATTTTGTTAACTAAATGTTGTGTGTGGTATGGGAACCTATGCAGAGAAAGTTGTAGTTTTGGGAGTTTTTTTGTCAAAGTGTGGTCTGTCTAAAGACGTTTTTCTAGAGAAGAAAAATCATTGGATGGGGGAACACAAAATGCAGGAATTTTGTGGGAAAGACCTGAATGAGGTAGAAATGTCAGAAATTGTGTTTTATAGTAACCCTGTCACGGATATCTATATTACCTATCTTTGCATCTATCTTATAACCTGGCATTTGGTTTTTGGTATGAATTTTACAATAGAATCAGATAACTGCTAAGTGGAGAGATTTATATTAACGTCTGCAACTACATCTTTGTAAGTACACCTAATGCCTAAAGTAAGACTAAATCACTAAATCACTGACCCTCACTCTTAACCTTATGTTTTGAAGGGGTAGGATGTCCCATTTGGCAGAGGACTCAAGCTAATGGCCTTGTTACCCATAAAAAGGAAAGTGTTACAGGTTAAACTTGGAAACTAAAGGATTGAAGCTGTGTTTGTAAATCATCCGTAAAATATGAAATTTATCCCAATTTAGCACATTTCTAATGAGATAATATGCATAATATGATGTTTGATATCATCAATTGTAATTACATATAATAAATGTAGCATAGATCAAATACTTGTTGAAATGATTTAATTGGTTTTGTAGATATAAAAAACTTACTGCAGCACTTTTTATTCACTTATCAAAATTCTTGGACACAGATGATCACAAAATCTTGCTCAGAAGGTTTTCTAACATGAAGCTCTCTTGTAATTCCATGGAATGGTTTCAAAACTACTTATCCGGCAGGTCACAGTGTGAGCAAGTGGAACGTCAGTTTTCCACTTGCCTTCAAGTATTCAAAGATGACACACAAGGTTTTATCCCAGGTTACCTTCTTTTATAATCTATGTTAACAGTTTGGTGAAAAATATTCCGCGTGGTAAATTAAATTTTTATGCAGATGACATTGTCTTCTATGCTGTCAACAAAGTTGAAAGTGCTTTTGATAACCTTAATACAAGCAGCGTTTGATGTGGTGCAGTCCAGTTTGAGCTATCTAAAGCTAAGTTTAATTTTACAAAAAGTAATATTACAAATAATGCAGCGCACTATTACTTTTTAAGGTCATCAGATTGAGGTTGTGTCTCAGTTTAAATATCTAGGCTTGATACCTGATTATTCCCTGGGTTTTGGTCCCAGCTTGTAACAAAATTGAAGCTGTTTTATTTTATTTCTGTTTAATACTTAAGGCTAGGAAACATCTTATTGCTGCTACTTTATTTGCTCATTTTAGATTAGGGTGACATAATTTATATGCATGCATGTTCACATTGGAAAATGGCAAACAATCTTCGCCGTTTGCTTCTTCTTCAGATTGGAATCAACTGCAGAATGACTTAAAGTTATTTTTTTTTTTTTTTTTTTTTTAAGGCCACTGTTAATCATTTTGTACATATGGTCTTTTTTTTTTTGCAAATGCTTTAAATTATTATTAAATGATAGTTCTATTTTATATACATGGTTACATTTGTTTTTGTTATTTCTATTTCTTTTAATATCTATATTGTATATTAACTGGTTTTGATATCTGTAGTTTTGATATATAATTAGTGGCATGTTGTTTTAGGTTGGCCCAAGTCTCTGTTGTAAAAAAAAAGTTGTAATTTCAATGAGAAATACCTGGTTAAATAAAGGTTACATACAGACATACATCTTAAACTCATATATTTTACCAAGGCTTTTAAAGTATGGTGCATTTTCTTACATTATTACCCATATTAAACACTTTGCCATAATGTTTATATACTGTAGTGTATTAGGTATATAACTACTTCTGTATAAACACAAGCATATATCACACTCCAAAAATATTTATAGGTCTGTAGTCTTACAAAAGTGTATTTTCTATTATTTATTGAGCTTACCCTTTAAAATGAGATTCAGCTCTTATCTTTTCAATCTCCAAGGCTTCTTAAAAAACTTATTGCATTGGAAGTAAATTTGTTGATTAGCACAACATTTGTTGATTAGCACAAAAAAAAAAACTAAGTCTGAATCAGCTGAGTACAATTTATTCACCAGTAGGATGAATGTTATATTATGTTTTTGTGCTGTCTTAATATGTATACAAATTCTGACAGCTGTTGCCTATTTAATGATTATTTCATAAGATTTTATTATTTTTATGATGTGTGATTATTGCTTGTTCACATACAGAACATGAATCACTGAGAACTGGTGATGTTACAGTTTCCTAAGGGAGTTTAACATTTCTCTGTGAAATATCTAAATCACTGTTTTAGTTAAATGTTAATAGGAAGGGAGAGTGCTGCGTTTGACAGCACAATTCCGCTATAGAGCTTTTTTTTTTTTTTTTTTTATTAAAAACGCTAACAATTTGTTAATGGTGGCCAATGAACTTCTGTTTATCATTTCAGATAAAACTTGGTCAGAGATCATTTATGTAATATCCATGGTTAAATAAACCGGATGGACTTATATTTTTCATTCAGGGAGAATGGGAGACCTGCTGTTTTTAAACCCCTAGATCCCCCACACATGGCGTCGCCACCAAAGACACGGCTCACAGAGTCAGCCAGCAGCCGGGAGGTGAGCAGAAAGGAACAGGCGGTGTCCCCTCCAGAGTGAGCACAGAGTGTGTGTGTGTCTATGTGTGGCATTCTCAGATGACAAAAGAATACCAGTTGTGCAGTTCAGGTGGGAGGACACATGGAGGTGGTGTGGAGGAGTCACCTGAGGGAGAACCTCCACTTTTGGGACCAGGGGCTGCAGAGGACACCCGGAGTTGCAGAGAGGGCTGTAGAGAAGGTTTTGGGGGCTTGAGGGAGAAGAGGGGGCTGCTGTTGCACAGCCTCCCCAGCGTGATGCATCTACCTTCAGGGTGGCAGCAGGCGTGGAGTGGGGTGCGATGGAGCGAGCACGGGCTCAGTGGCGCGGTCACCAAGGGACGCCGAAGCTGCTGTAGCAGGACTGATAGTTATTCCTTGAGAGGATTGCGAGATGAGCCCCATTGTATTAGCAAACCCCTTTCTACTGAAGTACTATCAATGTTCTCAAGCCTTAAAAGATTCCAGAATATCTGATGAACCACTATTTGTTTTCAGAACTAATAAATACATTTCATAAAACATACTGTTTCTCTAACATATGGAGGTTTTATTGGGAATCAGAATCATTGGTACTGTTGTTCTGAAAAGGCTTTTGGCAACAGAAAGCCAGCAAATCATTGCATACTGATTTAAAATTTGCACACATTAAAGCTTTTTAATTTCTGAGCCATACTTTTGTATTCCAACTGTTGGAGTCATATCTTTTAGAAATTCTCTGTGTCTAATATGGTCAGCACTCCCAATTATTCACTCCAGTGACAAGTGAAACAAATGGGACCAACCAGTGCATTCTGTATTATCTACACCCCTTGGATTCCCTGACAATAATTAATACAATAGCAAGCTGCTGTTACCAGCCCTGACGACATGAGCCCGACAACATAAGCTCTCCCTTTTCCAAGAGCTCTTGAGAGCAAATTACATCCGGCAGCGAGGTCGCATACATCCTGGTTGCCCCGACAGCCTGGTGGTGTCATTCTGCCTCTGTCTGGGAGCTCAGATTGACTCCGATGAAGATCCAGGCTGCATGATGCTGTTAACGTCGCAAGGTCATTACTCACATCATTACTCCATGGATGTAAGGTGCAAGGTATATGTCAAGAATATATGAATGTAGCACTCACAGTTCGGGATATGGGCAGCTTTTAACACAAAAAAACGGCCTCATATATCAAAGAAGTTCATTTACACCCACTGTGTGATTTTACTGATGAACTTGTGTTGACCACCTCTTTGCTACAGCATGGTGACACATCATTATGAGTTTACTTAACTGTCAAAAAATAAATAAATAAATAATAGAAATAAGGTCTAAAGGAAGTGTTGATACCCACAGAACTTTTCCCTCTTTTACAGCCACAAGCTAGATGGGCCGTTAATGTAAAAGATCAGCTCAGAGTAGTAGATACCAGTCTATAAGCATAAAAAAAACATTTTTGGGGGGAATACTTTATACTTTGTGGAATAATCTTTATAACCAGTTAAAGTTGCAGGGTTTTTAGGTCTTCCACTTGAATTAAAGACTGAAAAACCTAAATAGGTAAAAAAATTCTTAGTATGACTGAGGTCTGGGCTTGGACTGGACCGTTTAACAAATGGATACTCTTTGATCTGAACTTTTACATTGGCTATATGTTTAGGGTAATTTCCCGTTGGTTAAGTGGACCCAAAGTGTGTGGGTCACAAGTCTCTGCAGCCTCTGACAGGTTTATTTCCATGATTGCCCTCTCTCCATTGACTCAGACTAGTCCCCTTATACCTGCTGAATGAAAGCACCTTCATAGCATAGCAGAGACAGCACTGTGCTCCATGTCATGTTCTCAGTGATGTAGTGTTGCTTATGTAAGAAGAAAGTTTTTGGGGGTTTTATGTAGAACCATTTTCCTCGTGTTTACCTGCACTTGTGCATCATTTGTGCTCTTTCCATTGAAATACTAAACACAGCTCTGTAATATGTTCAAAGAATTCAAAAGAGATGCAATTAACCTTTCTGGTGTGTTCTTTGATCTTTGAGACACTGTGTTCAACTTTTAAGGATTTATAAAAAAAAAAAAAAAAAAGCTTTAAAATTAGGTTAAATAACATATTGGTGGATTATATTTTCTAATTAGGGGATTTGTGAAGGCCACTGGTTGCATTAGATCTTATTTAAGGGAATCAGAAATACAAAGATGAATAAAATTATAAACCAAATTTTTAAAAACATATCATCCATAACCTCTGTGTTCAAAAAAATACACTTTTTTGTAGCTTTGCCACATAAGATCCCAATAGTAATGTAAGACAGTTAAAAAAAAGGTTCAATGGGGTATGAATACTTTGGCAATGCACTGTAAGTTTAATTAAAACAGCCAACTGACCAGCTTGTTTCTGTAAGAGCTCCCGTGCAGTCATACTAACACTTCTCATTTTAGCCTATGAGGATATTAACTGTTTTTTTGTTTTTTTTTCTTAATTATAGAGGTGCATGTTCCCACAACATCCATTAAAGGAATGCCTTGCTAATTTTAAATCCTCACAGCAGGCATTTTGGCACCAACAGAAGAAAAGTGGATGAGTTTCTCTTTAACAGCTGTAATTTGTGTTTTCCAATCACCATGCTGATTTCTGCTCATTATACTCCGGTTTCACACCGGTAAGTGAGCAAAGTTTGGATTGATTGACTCTAATTAACTAAAAAATGTTCCAAGCCACGGATTTATTATCATGCTAGCTAGCCACAAATGTCAAAGACTTTCACAAATTATTATCCTCTTAAGATAAATATCTTTGAAATCAAATGAGTGTGGAAGCACAAGGAGCACGTATTGTTATACTGATGAATTTGTTTGTCATGTTTTCTGCTGAGCTCAACATGAAGGACTCACCTGGGCAAACACACAGTTCCAGACTATGGTTAAAAAGAGGTGCAGTATGACTGACTGACGGATACTTTAGTTTGGTAAAGTTTGTTGAAATGTACTATTTAAAACATACTTTACATCAAAGCAGTAGCAGAAAGGAAATGTTTATTTTTATATCTAGACAAATAAAAATGATAGAGAAGATTATTTTTCTCCATGTGCAGCTGTGTTTTGTCCAGGTCATCCTTCCCTCTTGTGTTCCCCCAAACTTGGCAGCATCTCCCCTCATTGATATTTTAGACACAGTGGCTTCCCCTCTCAACTCAAATTCTTTTCCTGACTTCTTCAGCTCCAAGGCTCAACTCTCTACTTTCTCCTGAACAAAGATGAGACGGTTTCAGAGGACACCTCCATTTCACTGGTTTTAAAAAGACCTCAGAGCGGAATTTTGTTTAGCCACAGAAGACAGAACGCTGCTCTGATTCGCTCGGCTTCACCTCGGCGATCAAAACTGATTACTGAAGTGAATCCAAACGAAACGGACCCATCGTCTGCATGGTGGCGCCAGGCTGAAATTGAGAATCACGTTGCCAGTAAATCAGATCCCCCTCCTTTCCCTTAAAAACATGCTTCTTGCAGAATCTACCTTTATACTTTATACAAAAAGCGCCTATCCCTGCTTTGATCCATCACAGAGTACAACAGCACGGCAAGGAATATACTATAAATTTGATCCTCAACATAGTGAAACAAGCATCAAATATGGATGAAAATATGTCTCAGCTGTCAGGCACTTCTCATTAGTACTTTCACAGTTTACCGTGTTTAGAGGAGCAGCTTTTAGGCGTGTGCACCTCGAGGCACGCCTGCAGATAAATGTGATGACATCCAGTTGTGGCTCACTTTCATTTATTTAGGGGATTGATTAGATACATGGTAAGCAGATAAATGTGTTGGAGAGGCACTTTCATGGAAGATATTGCTATATAGTCAGTAAAGGATATGAGGAATATAAGATGGACTGAGCATTTGTCTTTTTGAGCTGTTTTTGATGGGCTGGTGATACCTCGGCTCTGCAAGCTGTCCACTGCATTAACAGATACATGTTTTGTGTGTCGATGTACAGCAGTTAAAGCTTTTGGGCTCAGAAGCCTTAATAAAGAAAATCCTCTAAATATGAACCTTAAACGTTTGGCATTTTTATTCCTTTTTTATTATCAACATTATAATTATTCAGGACCATCAGTGTTGGTGCTACTTCATGGTAAAATGACAGAGGGTCAGTCTTTTTCTAAAAGTCAGGACTGTGGTGCAAATGGGAACAGAATGCAAGTTCCAAAATTTGAATTGTATGTGTAATCTTACCACCTATATTTAGAGTAAAATGGCAATAAATTAGAATGTTTAGTGGTTTTTTATGCTCTCTATTAATCTGTCTGTGTGATGTGACCAGCTCAGCTGTCTCTCAGTCTGGGATTAACTTTAGCTGTATATTATAAAGCGAGTCACATTTTTGAAGCAAGACAGCAACTCCCTCAGCACATTAAAAATACAAATTTATATCAGAACTTCAAAGGCACCATAGGCCAAATTATCAATAAGTCATAACAAAAGGAGAGGAGCAAAAATTCCTAGCATAATGAGATGTATTTACTAAAGGTAGTTTGTGGCGCTTTGACGAGGCTAAAAGGATAAAACTATACAAGATTTAGCAAAGGTGGGTGTAAAGACATCAAATTGGCTTTATACATCCAAGTTAACAAAGTTTTGGAGCAAGTAAGTGTCCAGAAAGCCTGAGGTGACAAAAACAAAATCATGCATGAGAATGAGGTCAGTCCATATGTAGTTGCAGCTTACTGACTTTTATTTCCATTTCATAAAGAGGGGATGTTATTTTCCCTTTTATCACAAAAATAAATATAGACAACATAAAATTAGAATAAGGAGCCTTGCCTAACAGTTTGTCTCATCCAATGAATATGGCTTATGTTTCTGTTCATTTGTAGAAATGAGCAGAAACATAACCGTTCCTGTGTGCTTTAAGTGCCTCAAATAAAGTTTTACCTCAGTTGTTTTGATGCTACAGTGTCATGTTGCACTTCAAGTTCAGTTAATGTATTTCCTTTTTTGTTTGAAAAAGATAAAACACACTTTATAGGTAGCGGAATTTTCTAAGTTTAGATTATTTTCCTAAATAAGTAAAAATTCTTATTGTATTTTACAATCAACAACTAAAACAGCAAAGGGTAATTAAAACAGGTGTAAATAAGCATTTCTTATGCTTGTAAGTTGCAAACAAAAGTAATAAAAGGGGATTTGCTAATCACTTGTGTAAAAAAGTCCAAAACCAGTTGTAAATGGTCATGTTTCAGTTATCTCTCCAGTTTTGTTGTGTTCACACTGCCCCCTTCTGCCTGACTGGTAGGTGAGGTGTCTGTAAAAACAACAACAAGCAAGAAGATCTCTGTCATTGCCAACAGAAAGGGTGACAACAGTATTTCTAAGAACTTCAGGTCGCTCACAATGATAATTCTAACAAAACATTCCAGATTATTTATATATTTTTCTAAATATGTTATTCTAAATATGTTATTTTGTTTTTCATATTTTGTTTGCAGCATTATCTTCAGTACATATTTTAATATTTGCACATTTTTTAAAGCCATGGTTTACATTTGACTTTTGAGGTCTATATGAAGCAGGTGATGTTGTGGAGCACTGACATGTCTCTGGTTAAACACTATGAAACAAAATCAATTTCCTACAAGAACTAAATGTGATTCAGTTAAGATTCCAAATTGAAAACAGCGTTTCCCCAGGGTTCTTTAGAATGCCAGTGGATAGTGCGCACACAACATCCCTTTGTGCACACTATTTACCCCTGGATTGCTCCAGGCTAATGTCTCAATAATTTTCACTCCTTTCTCAGGTCCTTCCCACAAAGGACTTAACTAATGATCCATGGACAAAATGAAGCATTTAAATTTATTCATTAATCATTCATCTCCAGCTCATTGAAAATGCTAAACTTCCACAAAATTAAGATTGAATATTGAAAAGTGATTGAGGGAGACAGTTTTCAGTGGGTGAAGACGTTGGAGGAGAGTGGGGCGCCGTGACAAAAACAGGGTATTTTCCTCAGGACGGTGGTCTCCACATGGAGGTGGTCAGTCTGGCTAAAGTGTACTAAGTGCTACTTAGGGTCATGGGGCTTCACTAGTTGTAATTAGATCTTGAAATCTGAAGAAGCGTAGAATTTCTGTCAACACTGCCTGTAATTATTCTCTTTTCCAATTAATGGTGACATAGATTAATTATCTGATGAGGCAAAGCCAATTGCAATCATTCACCCAGCTAAAATTAGATCAGTCCTGACAGCAGCATGAAAGTCACCTGTTTCATTGTTATGGATTTGCTGCAAGTGAAAAGTGGGGGGGGATAGTGAAGCATGCTAGGGTAAGTAAGTTGTCTGGTACAGGTGAATGTCCAATTACACTGCTACTTGAACTGGACGCATCTACTCATTCATTCCAACAGTATGTGGACTGGTTTACCTGTTCTTTCCAGTGTTACACTGGCCGTTAAGTCATCTCATATGGACTCTAGTAAAGCTGAGAGGAGGGAAATTCTTTCTGACAACTTTTCCTGTTAAAACAAGAAAAAGACGGATAAATAACAACAGCAGGCCCATTTGTATAAGCACTAATTATGCTTAGTCCACATTTTGTGCACTGCTAAACAGGCTAGATGGACTTAGCAATATAGACCAACCACTGGAATTTGACCTTTCAACTCTAAAAACACTACTCTGCTATTTTCTTCAGTTGATCAGCTTAAATTTATTATTTGTTCACTATTATCTCTTACTTTAGTCAAGATAAAGATTTTTTTTAAAGAATGCAGTTAGAAATTAGCACGCCCAAATTAACTAGAACTAGAAATTAGGTAGCCTTTTACAATATATTTTATCATTCTGCTTTCATTTATAAAAAACACAAACATCTGAAAACTTTCCATCTACAGCAAAATTCAGCACACATTTTCCAAGAAACTATGACCAATATCCCAGCTTGTAACTAAGAAGAATTGTTTGTTTTTTTCTAAGATAAAAAAAATAGACCAAAAGCATAGGGAACGTATGCATCTTTCATTATGGCAAACATAAACTTTTTTTGTCTGGTTGCTCATCTCATTAGAAAATAGATTTTTTTTTGTTTTTCTTTTTAATAATAAAAAAATCTAACCTTTTATTTCTGTTTATACCTTGAAATTCAAGATTTGATGCACGTGGATCTAAACCTAACATATCCCATCGCTTGACTTAACCTCTGCCAAAAAACCCTGATCCTAATTGGCTGTCTTCCTTTTCACATTAGCTATTGTTGGTTTATTCTGTGTGGCAAAACAGACCAGCTCTGTGGTCTTGTTTAAAGCAGTTTAAAAACAGCACTGTTCTCTGTATCCAGATGTGTCTGCTAGCCAAAGAAATATTTATAAGGGAACCAGGTATTTGAAAATACAGGCAGCTTCATTAGCAGCTAATAGTGTGAATGTGTCAGAATTAAAAGGAACATCCTTGTTTTGATCTCAATGTGTGTTATCTCAAACACATATAGGGTTAGTAATGTTTGAATGCTTTATCAATAATTTTTTTAATGCTTATTCAACTTTTAGACAATTATGATTAGCTCATAAAGCTTCTCATTCATTCATCAAAATAATCTTCCTTTGACATATGAACGTCAAACAGGCTGTTGACTGGTTTTAATCAGTTAAACTCTTACACAAACTAGTTTAAAAACTAATACCTGTGCCATACTTAATTATGTGCAGCTAAGTGGTACAACTGTTTGTCTTGTAAGGTATACATAAACTTAATAGTATTAGATGTTTTTTTTTTCTACAATCATAGGTAAACTGTTCGATTAACCATAACATAAAAGCTACTTCTTTCTTTTCTATAAGAGCAGCTGTGAAAAATTCAATAGGAAGATGTCATTAATGTTTTATATTTAATTTATTTTATTAATAAGTGATTAGACTGAACTAATGTTTATGAGACTGGGGGGGTTATGGACCTTGCAGTAACTTAAATGGTTGGCATTGGCTACAAGTGTGAGAGTAAAGTTACCAGCTTGTTCTTATTTTTGTAGGGAGGCAGAATAACGCTCCTGGTGAACCGTGTCCAGGTTCAATGCTCCTCTGCTTAAAAAACCTCAGCATCCAGTTTTTCTATTAAACTGCCTGGCAGTCAACTAGCTTGGGAATGTGAACCAGCCTGGCCATGCAGAAATTCTCTGACTAACAATTATATCAGAAACAGGATCTTGGATTACTGTCCCCTGGGACTGGGGCAGTGGGCGTCTGCTCCAATCATTACTGGCCATTCAACAAAGCTCTGCACTGCTCTCTGCTGTTAGCCATTGTCAATTATGCCATCCCTAGTGTAAACTTGCAGAACACAAAGCTGAACTGCCAGTTCTGGCAGGAGTTTAACAGGATGGCAGCCCACCACCCCTCCGATCCCACCCCCACCCACCCCAGGGTTCCTCAGCCTTCCTTCCCTCAAGCCAGTTATGAGAGAACTGCCATGTGGCGTCTGAAGGAGCAAACCTGACCTTTCTAATGTTTTGCTTGTGGGGTTAAGTGGACATGATGGATTAGTATAGGCCTCATCAGGACTCAGCCTGGTTTCACTCCTGCTGCAACCGGTATCAGTTCAATTCATTTCTTTACCATTGCTTTGTTCTAGACAACAAAAATATTTATATTCTTGTCAATTTATTTCAGTACAAAATCTCAAGAGGTAATCAGCGAGGGTTTAAAATCTCTATAGTAGTATGCAGTAAATTTATGCCTGTTCATAAACTCTCCAAGTGCCTTTCTTTAACCCCTTAGGGTTATTTTTCCTTGTGTATGTTATGGAAGATATTCCCTCTCCTGCACTCTTCTTTAGGAGCCAGTTTAAAGTGAGTGCTGCCTGCTCTGATGGAACCTGTGCTGAGCTGTGACGGGTGACGCTGCGGTGCGCTTGAATACACCAGCTCTTTTGTCCTTCACACTCTGCAGCTCCCTGATAGCTCCTCCCCCTGTGCCCCAATACTCCCTGCCTTGAGCAGCGATCTGCTGGGGCCTTTTGAGGCAGGGCTGCTGAGAAATAGCTGCTTCCTGTAATGTCTAGACTGGACTTCAAAAAACATAAAAGCCGTTGGAGATAAAACAGAGAAGGACACCTCTTAATAGAATCTGGTGTTCCACATCAGAATAACTCACTGTATAAGATACTTTAGATTTTGTAGGGTACTGCTGTTAGGATAAGATTAAGAAAAAAGTGGATGTAGATCATAGCATGGTTGCACGCCACCTGGCCCTATAGTATTGCTGGATAGGACATTTTATATAGATTCATCACTGTCCCTCTGTCCGCTTTGACCTCATCGCACATCACAGCACAGATTAGACACCGATTATCCTCTAATTGAGGATCCCTACTTTTCAACCTTGCAGAATATGCTCCAACTCTTGTGCAAGACAGACAGAAGGTTATCTTATTCACAAAGATGAGGAAGTTGGAAGACATGAACATAATTCATGTAATGTGATTGTGCCTATATTTACAATAGCGTGAATAAAAAAACGGCTATGGTCAACAACAACAAAAAAACATTTGACATAATTCATGCTCAGTGTCATGCAAATATATTCAGAAAATTGTAACCTTTTTAAATTTTTTCCTATTAAAAACAACCAAACTCAATATGATTTTATGTTGCAGACCAATACAGAGCTGTACATAAATGTAAACTGGAAAAATGTATGTCTTCTTTATAATATTTTTCATATGAATATCTTAAGTGTACCATGCACTAGTATTCACCCATCTGAGTAAATAAATGGAACTACCTTTTATTGCATTAAAAGATGCAGCTCTATTTGCCTGTGTCTTCATCAGCTTGGCAAATTTAGGTTAAACTGTTGCCTGGTTATTGATTGGGTTATAATAATACACAAAAAGATGTTTAGGGAATCTGTTCTGCTGACAAAAAAAAACTTTCCCAACTGTCCCATTCACCAACTTCCTTGTCTCTGCTGATGATATACATTATGTCAGCATGATGCTGCCACCACCATGTTTCACCGTATGGATGGCATGCTTACTAAATGTTTTTCTTCCATCTGACCAGAGATACTTCCTTGATGTTTGCAGCCATCATGCATGCACTTTATGTGCCAAACTAGTAGTTGCTGTGTCAGTAGATCATCTGCCCTGAGCTGTGGATCGTTGCAGCTCTCCCAGAGAAACCTAAGCTCTTAAGCTACTCTTCTGATAAACACACTCCTTTGTATGGTGTGATGTTGCAGCTTTATGGGTGGCTATAGCTCCACAGGTTTGCAGATATGTGACGCTCTTTTTTATGATGATGGACTGAACATTGTCTTCTATGATGTTACGGTTGAGATATTTGTTTTTACTTTCTAATTCTGCTTAATTTCTCCAAATCTTTATCCCTAACCTCCCTGGTGTGTTGCTTAGTCATGTTGAAGTTCACAAACATTCTCCAACAAACCTACGAGGCCTTCACAGAACAGCTGTGTGATGAAATAACATTACACACCCAAAAGGATATTTTTTATGAATTAGGTGACTTCTTAGGACAGTAGGTTTTACAGAATTGCATTTAATGATATAAGGGAATGTTTTTTTTTATTTGTTTTTTCTTACTTGTAAAGCTTTTACATTCCACTTTGCAATTATGTCATGCTTTGAGGTCCATTAGTTCTCAAACCTAGTCCTAAAGTACGACTGCCCTGCATATTTTAGATGTCTCTCTGTTGGAGCACACCTGATTTAAATTATTGCATGACCTCTTCAGCAGCCTTCAAGTGCTGCAGGGGCGTGTTAGTCATTCATTCATAAGTCAGGTATGTAGCAGCAAGGAGACATCTAAAACAATCAGGACAGAGGTACCGGTAATATCAAATGAAATTCTATAGAAATTTTAAGATGCAGCATTTCAAAATGTGAAGGCTATCATAGGGGTGTGAATATTTTTGCAATAGGGAGAGACTCTGACACACACAAAAAATTAATACAGCTCCTCAGTCACACACATTATTCCATACATCAGTCTATGATTTGATGAGTGAAGGTATATACTGTAATATAAGAGTAGTGCCTCTAATTGCACTATAGCACTGAGGCAGACGTTTTGGTAGATAATTGCCTGGCTGCTCTTGCTTGGAATAGAAGACACAAGGCAACTGACTAGCTGGATGAGGCTCAAACAATGCAAAGCATAACATGGAGTTACTGTAGTATGCATAAGAATATGCTACCATCTGTTAGCATACCTACACTGGGATGAATGTTGAATAAAAAAGATTTGCTATGCAAATGCATAGCGTAGATGGTGTCGCTTGCTGACCTGTTTTCTACACACACACTTAAATATATATATAAATAATACCTGGGCAGTTTTTATTTTCTGGGTGGTTTGTTGGGAGAGAGCCTGGCATCGGTCCAGTTCAGCCTGGCTGTCGAGGCTGCGTTGTTCTAAGTATTTTACCAAAACCTTGTGCATCCTCTTCTGCAACAAAGAGAGCTGGGGGGGAGAGAGGGCAGAAAAAAGGAATTGGTAAGGCAGGAGAGGAAATTAATGGCAGTGTTCAAGAAGAATGATGGAGGGGAATAGAGAAAGCAGTCAATAGCCCATTCTGCAGTACACGGGCCTGACAGGAATTTCACAGTCTCTTGGTTTCTCTGCCCACTCGTGTGCACTCATCAGAATCCAGTCACATCTGGCTGCCAGGATGGGGGGTTAATTTTCTCTAAATGCTTCAGCAGTTTTGTTCTAGCCGAGGCAAACTCTGTGACTGCAAAGCTGATGAGTAAAATATTTCTACTTCACCCAGTTTAACTTTATACCAATCCCCTCAAGACATATTTTACACATACACACAAAGTCATGAACCCCCCACAGAAAGCAGAAATTATTCCCAGTCTCTTCGAAAGACATGCTGCTCGCTTTATTATTTGAACACAGTTTCAAGCAAAGAGGTTTAAATTCTGATAGATGCCATTGCCTTTCTCTCCCCCCTCCATCTCTGCACTCCCTACAAAGCTTATCATTGCTTGGCAATGTGTTCCCCAGTGCATTGAAAACTAAAGCGAATTAGTTCAGTCATCAGCTCCTGAAGGAAAGACAATAACAAGAATGGTTTTAATGGTGTATCCTGTTAAAACCCAAGAGCTGAAGCCTCCACATAAACAGAGCAGTACTAACATCTACCCTCACTCATAAAGGGTTTCAAAAGGACATACATGCAAAAATATTCAAGTAATTTAAATTTAAAGAAAAGTTACTCTCATACTATACCTGAAAAATTCTCAATAATGTCCTATTTGGTCATTTATCAGTAATGAAATATTTATTTTTGCTTTTTTCCTGCATTGTGAATGAAATTAAGAAATAATACTAACAATGTTTAACATTTGTACATTAAACTTTTTTTTATGCTTTATTATGGACATCAATTTATTGAGATAAAAGTCCCGAGGATGATTGTTTAGATGAATTAAGCCATGGTGATGATTATAATGAATTGAGCATATAGTAGTGGTACTTTGTGCATTCTGCTATGTTTGTGTACAGGAAATATAGGTTTGTGGTAGACAATGTATTGAGACGTCTATTTGTGGATGTAGACATCCTTGGAAATGATGGCAACAAAAACTGTGGGCTCCTGTGAGAGTAACAGCTTTTGTGATCAGGTTGGTGATAAAAGGGAAATTGTAAAAATTGTACTTTTTCAAAGGTAATGTCTAAACAACAGGCCTAATTATACCTCATTACATAATAAATTTGGCTAAAAATACCACTGTTTTACCAAGTTTTAGTGCAAAATATTTATGTTGGGAAGAAAACATTCTCCTGTGTTTCTTTAGGATCTCATTGATTTTTTTTTTTTTTGTCGTTTTTTTTTTTTATACATTTGTTACTTCCTTTATTATCAAAATGTAGCTTGATGTTTATTTTGATATTTATTAGTTATTCATTTGCTAAAATCTGGCTGCTACCTAGGCCAGGTGTCTCTTGTAAGACAGATTCTGAGTTTTAATGGGATTTCCTGGTAAAATAAAGGTTAAATCATCTCCCACTCGATGCCTCAGGTCAGCTGACCTGCTGTTCCTGGAGGTACTCAGGTCCAAAAGGAAGCTCAGAGCTTCAGCTTCAGTTGCTGCTACAAAATTTTATGCACTCCCCCTCCTCATTAGACAATATTCTTCACTCTCTATTTTTGTGTTTGTTTTTTGTTTTATTGTTTTCTATATGTTTTTATTTCTTCTAATTAATTTATTGACTTGTATTTGCTTTATTCCTTTAAATTTCTATGTTGTTTTTATACAACCTGGTATGTACAGCACTCTGTGTCAGCCGTGGTTGTTTTAAAGGGCTTTAGAAATAAAGTTAAGTTGAGTTGAATTAAAATTGAATTAAATAAGTAAAAAAAATCTCTAACTTCAAAAAAGGCTTTTACTAAAAAGCTAATTATTTATATAGCCTTGAATACAATATACAAATAATTTAATAATTTTATAAAGATGTTATCTATTGCCCTGCGATGGACTGGTGACCTGTCCAGGTTGTACTCCGCCTCTTGGCCGTAGACAGCTGGAGATAGGCACCAGCACCCCTCACGACCCCCCTTGGGATAACCGTGACAAAAAAATGGATGGATGGATGGATGGATGGATGGATGGATGGATGGATGGATGGATGGATGGATGGATGGATGGATGGATGGATGGATGTTATATATAATATTTATTCAACAGTAATGCATGTAAGTGTGAGATATATACTTAGCATGGATGCTAACTATTATATGCATACACTCCCTTAGAGATAGGGCGAGAAGCTCGGTCATCCGGGAGGGACTCGGAGTAGAGCCGCTGCTCCTCCACGTCGAGAGGAGCCAGTTGAGATGGCTCGGGCATCCAGTTAGGATGCCCCCTGGACGCCTCCCTGGTGAGGTGTTCCGGGCACGTCCCACCGGGGGGAGGCCCCGGGGAAGACCCAGGACACGCTGGAGAGACTATGTTTCTCGGCTGGCCTGGGAACGCTTTCGGGTTCCTCCTGAGGGGCTAGAAGAAGTGGCGGGGGAGAGGGAAGTCTGGGCCTCCCTTCTTAAAGGAGAAGTTCGGTTTTTTCCACTTTAAG